GACCTCCTACCGGCTGTGCCAGGGAGCTTCCCTGGCACAGACTTCCCAACTTCAGTTAGGAGTTCCATCTGCCAAAGAATTTCTTTGACTTTGTCTTCCCTGCCTTCAAGGCGGTCTTGGACTCTTTCTTTCTAGCCTTATGCTCTTTGATCTCTTCAAAAAGCTCCTTGCTCCCCTTCAGAAGCTCATCCATCACAAACCACTGGAAATGTTCCTCCCCAATGGCTTCCCTCCGCTGGAGCTCAAACGAACTGAAATCCTCGTTCGTCAAAGCATCTGCCAGCTCGTTCCCGTCCCTGCGTACCCAGGTCAAGGTCGCAAAGGAGTCATATCTCCGGAGCGTCTCGGCAATCTCAATCACCAACAATGTAACAGGGTACTTCGTCGAAAGCCCTTTTCGCAAAATGAATGCATTGCCTCTATTATCTGTAAAAGCTTCTGCGCAAATCTCTGCTGAGTCTCCAGCACCCCTCAACCAGAGCTTGAGGGCAAGGAGGGTAGCAAGCAATTCAAGTGCAGCAATGACCCTTTTCGGATTCTTCCCACGAGAAAACAACCAAGGGGCAAGTTCTTCAGTGACCCGAACTGAAAACCACCGGCATTCCTTGCTATCACTTGCCTCTTCCAGCCATCCTCCGATCCATGCCGCTTGCTCTGTTGCTTTTGCATCGGTCCAGATCCTCAAGGAGTTGCTATCGCATGGCACAGGCTGTTTCACGACCTCCAGCCTGCCCCCTTCTTCAAGCCTTCTTGCTATCCAGCTCAAAATGAATTGCACGGCCCATGGGATCGTCAATGCACCCTTGTTCGACTGGACCGCCGACGACCGTGCATACAATGGCCCCAGAAAAGGTCTCTCCCATGGCAGGGCCAAAGCAGAAAAGCCTAGGCTCCCCAGACCGGCAGAGAACTCCCGGTAGGTGACCTCCTTGCGGGCCCTCAGAGACTGAATCCACTCAAGAACCCACTTTGCTCTCCTCTCTGACAGACCCATGGCGAAGGTGCGGTAGTCTGTTGTTAGGCCAATCCACTCAGTCACCAGGCCCCCTCTCTGCTTGGCCCATTTGAAGGGGGCCCCAAGTGCAGCCATCAAAGCAAAGGCCAAGACTCCTCCGACCCGGCCTTTTCGACCGATTGTTAGGACCTCAAGATCATCGGCATAGAGCAGCATATCATCTGGGAAAGCGTCACCGAGAACCCAATATACCACTCTCATCAATGCAGCACTCAATCGAGCCCACCAGTATGGAGTCGAGGCGACTCCAAAAGTCCCGACCTTGTTGACATATACCGTGCTGGAGCTTGACGATGCCTTACACGCTAGGAAACCTCGCTCCTCTTCAATGTACTTGAAGCGCCTATGCGCCTTGGCAAAGTCACCAACAAGCGAAAGCACCGTCTGCCTCCCGGCCTCATATTCTTCTAAGAGGGCCCTCTTCTCACGCGGCCCAGGCATCCTCACCTTATCACGGCACCTGATCCGGTGATTCACCATGACTCCGTGAGTGCCGTCATGGATCACCCGCTTCTTTCCGGTCACCTCATCCTCCACCAGAACTGCTAGCGCTGCAACTGCCCGGTTCTCACCAAAAGCCTGTATGAAGTCTTCCTCCTCCATCTTGACCATCAATCCTTCTGCTACCTCCTGATCCAAGTGCTCAGTGAGGTACTTTTCGTGTTCAGCCGCTGACATGTAGTTCTCCTTCTGCCACACGGAGCCACTCCAATCCTCACTCTCCAGGTTCCACCGAAGTTGTTCCTCGAAAATCTCTGGCGTCCGAGGAAGCTCATTCAAGACTCCCAGCGGCAGACCTGTCTTCGCCTGCTCTAGGAAGCCCCCATCTCAGTCTCCTGCCTTCTCCAAGACATCCTTCATCAGACCCAGGTAGAATGGTTGCCCCTCCTCCGGGCTTTCCTGCACCTCCACTCCAAGGTTTTCGGACAAAAGGGCCCTGACCTTCCCCAAGAACTCCTCATCCTTTACCAGGCTGAAGGCATCTCCGCCTTTTGCCATTCGAAAAGCCTCCTTCTCAAGCTCTGTCAAACTGCCCAGCTTCGCCACCGCCTCCTGTTGCAATTGCTGTCTCAGCTTTGCCCACGCCTCTCCTTGCAAGATCTTCCTCGTGCCAGGCGTCCACCTCCCTGGGGAGGCAAGTCCTCCTCCGTCATGATATGGTGCCTCCAAGCCCTTCCATCTGCAAGAGCGGGGGGGCCCTCTTCCTCCAGGAAAGATCGGATTCATGGGGTCAACCTCCAACTTCATCTCCTTCTCGCGCTGGACCTTCTGCCGTTTCTTGGCTGCCTCTTGTCCCCCTTCATCTGGACTCCTCTTCTTGTCCTCTATGCCACTGCAAGGTTCACCCCCCCCCCCAGACACTCTTGTAAGAAGGAGGTGAGGATCGCTTCAGCGGTCCACTTGCAGAGGGCTGGCGGCCAGGCTGCTGAATGCGCTGTCTTAAACACACCATTCTCCTTGCCAATCAAGGGAGCGCCCCCGGATTGCCGTGGCAAGGGACCCGAATACCAGCCCTGTTCATCAAATTCGGGAGGTCCTTCATGCATTGCCGGGCGAAGTGGTGTAAAGATCCGCATCAAAAATCTTGTGGGTTTGGGGGAGCTTGTCCCAAACTCCGATTGAGCGAAGACCACTGTCTGCACCCCGTCCAATGTCAACAACTCCTCAAATTGCCAAAACTGCCACATCGACGCTGGCTGATGCCCTGTCAACCTGTCGTGCCTAGTTCTGCCCAAATCCTCTGGCTGCTCCATGAGTCCAACTGTACGTTTGCGTGCAAATTGACGCTTCAATGCTTCAAATGAACTAGACGACAGGGTGGCCCGAAAGCAAGTAGGCGGAAGAGAACAAATAGAAGGGAAGAAAAGCGAAGTAACAGAAGATGAATGAGCACTAAAGAAATGAAGAGATGATATATGATGATTCAAAACATTAAGATGAAACAAAATGAGATGATGATGAGATGACACAATATATAATATATATATATATATCTATATATATATACATTATGATTATGATACTATTATCACGTTGTTACCAAATCTATTAATGTATATTCTGTTGCACTGTACTTCGGAGCCCAAACGGTAGTCCCGGTCGATTCTTTTTTATCCAGCGCCGGTCGAGCTCAAACGCTAGTCCCGGTAGTAAGAGCCGCCGAAGTGTGCGAAATCGCACGTCCCAACCTGGCATCAGGACAACCAATGCTCATACAAATGCAACACTTGAAAAACAAAACAAATTACCCACAGTTCAACTCATGTTGTTTTGTCGGTTATCAGATATAGTTGCACACCCAGTCGGAACAGGATCGACTTCGAACAACTCTCGGTCGTGGATCTCGTGCCTTGTGGAGTCTCTGCACGTTCAGCTGGAACAAGGGTCGACTTCGGACAACTTCCGGTCGTGGACCCAGGTCCTTCTAATCAGTTTGGTCACGACACTTTGCAATAGCCAATTCACAGCTTTTCGCCGATACTTGTAACTTCGTGGCTGGTGACTATATGTGGCATCGACATGCCGGCCTCCTGGAATTCCATTGCGTGGTGTCCACTTTCATTTGGTCCCACTTGTTGCCGCTCAACCTGTTCAAAAGACTCAATGTCTCTGGAAACGAAACTGGTCTTTCAGGTCAAATCACAACAAGCAAAGAATATCATTCAAGTCCAACAATCGAACAAAAAAAAGATGTCTATAGAGCTCTGTTTGCACAATTTTATCGGTTATCAGGTATATTCGCGCACCCAGTCGGAACAGGATCGACTTCGAACAACTCTCGGTCGTGGATCCAGTTCCGGTTTACACCAGACGTCGTTTACACCAGACAAGGCCAACAAAGGTTTACACCAGAAAGAGTTTACAGCAGAGACAGTTTACACC